AAAAGGAAGAGAGTGAAACTGAAATATTCGTAAAGCCTTTTTTTTTGGGTTATTGATAAATGAATGAAATTAAAAACAAAAAAAAAAAGGAAGAGAGAGTGAAACTAACACTGTAGCATATATCTCACCATATGTATAAAAGAAAGTTGAAAGATTCAAGCGTCTAAATCATCGGCTTCTAGACTCTGATAAAAATGATAAGAGAGAGGTGAAGAGGAAGCTGCCAGGAAAGAGAGCAAGGGGGCCATCGAGGAAGCTGCCAGAGGTCCATTTATAGGCGTGTTAGTTCCTAATAAAATATTCTTGCGGAGAAAACAAGTCATCCAAGGGGGCAAGTTTGGTGAAAACTAAAAAGGTGGGCCCTCCAATCTTGACTTTTCATCCTTTAATCTAACGGTAGTTAATGTAAACGTTTGTGATTGAATTGGTATCTCCTCGTTCCTTTTGTTTTTATTTAAAAAATATATAAAATTAAAGGTAAAATATTATATATTTTTAAATTTTAATTAAAATTACATATAAATACATTAATTTTCAAAATAAATATTTTATTTAAAAACTAATTTTAGCTGAACACAAGTTTAATCATTAATTAACTATTGATATTTCAATTAGTTTAATAATATAATAATATTTTTAAAATAATTTATGTTTTAATAATTTTAAAAATTATCATTAAATAAATTGCAATTTTTGTTTCAAAAATTTTTTTCTACAGCTCGCTTGGGAGCCTGATTTAGGACTCTCTTGAGGAGCCCGACCGAGCTCCCAAGGGAGTACCAGATTCGATCCTGCTTTAAGGAGCTCAATTTTGGGCCCCTTAAGTCAGCACCAGAGGAGCTTGATTTGGAACTTCCTTAGAGAGCTCAATTAAGACTCTCTGGGACCACTAGTTTGATGCTCTCTAGAAGAGCATAAGGTAGAGATGGGTGATCAGTCAGTGTCAATCGATCTGAGAGAAAAAAATAATGAAAAAAATATTTTAAAATTTTATATTTAACATTATTTAGAGCTTAGTGTTCATTTTAAATATTAATAAATCTTTATATAATTTTAATCAAAATTTAAGAATATTTAAATATTTTATCGGTTATGAAAGAGTGCAATTGTTATACAATATAGACTTATGGCAGTGAGCTGCAAGGCCTAACCATCGATTGAGCCCGGTGGAAACTAAAGATGGTTAATTGGTTGTGCATGTGAACCAGAGATATCCATAATTTTCTATCCATTAGAGAGTTCGGTGATAATTTTTCCCCAAAATAAAATTATATATACGTGCTGGTGATAATTTGCTGTAGGCCTGTAGCCTATTCTTTGAGCGTCCAAGAACGCTTTCGAGATTAGCTCTGTCAATGAAGGCAATATTCCAAGTCTATGAAGTTTTGCTACATCAGGGCCCAAAGTCTTACTATTTTTAATTTTGAGTTCTAGCTGAAGTTTGCCTGCCCCGTTAAACGTTGCTACAATTCCTGATATTAGAAGGCTTTTGTATATGGGAAAAGTGAGATTCAAAAGGACTAAACGCATTAATTAGCTTAAATTGGAAAATGTTCAACTACATGACCATCCACACTTTTTCATATATCAAAGCCTATGATAAATTTTCAAATGTCATTTAATTCGTGCATTGAAGGTAAAGGTTTAGAGGTTTAGAAGTCACAAAATCCTTTTACTAGATATTTATAAAGAAAAAAAAACAGAGGAAACAAGCCGAATTAAGCTTATAAGAAGATTAAACTACTTTAAATGTAAATTAACAATAAAGGACATGGCCAATTTCTGAATACTATTAGTATATTCCTTTTTGTTTTCAGTGCACCACAATAACAACAAATAATCGTCAGATTCTAACGTCACATTAAAATTTAGTTAGCATAAGATTTTGAATGATAATTTTGGTGAAATATATATGCTAACTAATTGGACAAAGTTTAGATTCTCGTTGTTTCCATTTATAAGAATAAACCAAATCAATTTTTTCAAAAAATTAGAGGAAAAAGAAACCTCCATTATAAGTACATAGCTTAACTCATTCATGCTTTGTCTGTAGTGGAAAGGGCTACAAAACCAAAGATTTCATGATCTTTGTAATTGCCCTCACTATAAAACAATTTCAACATGATTTAAAATCAATTAAACACTTATTTGGTGAATGAACAAAATTTGAATTTGGCTCAATATTGTTGCTCCTCTTCTAAAGGTTCATATATAGTCTGTTCAAATCTTTGTTTTTTCTCCCTTAATCTTGTGCAATTATATACAAAAGAAGGAATATGTTGATTATGTGTTAGTATTCTTCTTCTTCTTCTTCTTCTTCTTTCCTTTTTTTTTTTT